GTTATACGGTGCGCTCGTTAAGCGAGGCACCACTGTACTAGAATTCATCAAGACACTGAGTTTAAGTGATACCAATTTAAATGGTAAAAAAACAAAAAGTCCCATGGGGCCTGCCTATACTCAACTGTACAGTTTTAATGGAAAGGGAAAAGCATTACTAATATTTTTGCTATTACTGTGTTGTTGATTTTTTTTATTGTTTTAACTTTAGGAACTTCCATGCTAATCTACTCCTGTTCACACCTGGTTTATGATCCATATACTCTGGGTGAAATGTGGGCTATTACAGATAAAATTGCAGAAGCAGCTGTTGAAATGTGTGTTGACGTGGAGAAGGGGCAGCCCATACAGAGCCGTGACTCAAGCATTGCGTCACTGTGCTTCATCAGCCTTCCCTGAGAGTGAGCCAATCACCTCAAAAGGACTTGCCCTCAGCAGATAAGAGGTAAGTAGTCCGTCCCCACAGAAGACACAAAGGTCTTCTGAGTGAAAATTTGAATCCACTGGTAATTTGATTCCTGTGCCACACTACTTTGCTTTCTTGTGGCACACACAAAGTTCAACAAACTACATAAACATAGAAAGGTAGCCATTTTGTGACAGAGATACAGCTTCCCATTCTCCAAATTAACCATATTGTACAAGGTACTGGCAGTTGCTCATGAGTAGATTTCTTTTAATGATCATTCCTTCAAAAGTAAAGGCAACTTTTAACCTAAACCCCATTGATTAGGCCAGTCATTATTTTATAGCACTTTCAGCTCCAAGCTAATGGCAGAGTTTAACTATCACTACCCATTAAACGCCTTTTTCTTTCCAGTAAAATACAACATGCCATGCGCTTAAGGGAATTAAAGCCCACTCAGGCTCAGGGTTAATAAACAGAGAAGTAGAGAGCAATAGCTGCCTCGGGCTCTAATGGCCCACCCCCACAAAGCAGAGGGAGGTAGGGTAATGATCGGTGGTTGCTAGACGGCCAATAAAAAGCTCCAGATGCTGCATTATTCATGAAGTTCTCTCTTCTCCCCCTCCCCTCGAAACATTGGCCCAGCAGTGAGCAGTATCTGTTATGTACAGGAGAAATATTTAAAGAGTTCATCCAGTTCTGATTTGATCTTACATTTAGCTGCAAGAGACAGTGGCCAATATGCTGTTGCTGAAAGCTGGAGCAGAAATGAAACAAGGTACGCATCTCTACCTGGCTCTGACAGCCTTCCTGTATCAAGTCCATTTTGGTGCTGGACGCAAGATCGGTCGTGAAAGAGGCTGGGAAAAATGTTTATGTGCTTGCCCTTCCTCTCCACATTTCGACAACAAGATACTTTCCAGTGAGACCAGCTTTATAATGTGGGAGTAAGAAAGGTCACCGTAAGTCAGAATTGACTTGGCAGCACAATTATTTTAAAATTAATGATAGATAGATAGATAGATAGATAGATAGATAGATAGATAGATAGATAGATAGATAGATAGATAGATAGATAGATAGATAGATAGATAGATCGATCGATCGATCGATCGATCGATCGATCGATCGATCGATCGATCATCAGCAGGCAGGCAAGCAAAGTGAAGAAGTGTGTGTGCGTGTATGAGAGAGAGAATAAGAGAGGGGGGGAATCCATAAGCACCCCATTCTAACTGAGTTGCTAATGCTCCAATTTATATCTTCTAATTTCCCATTTATACCTTCCTTAATTCGTTTTGTTCAGTTACAGATGCTGGTAAGCTTTACAAGAAAAATATGTGTAACATTTCATGTAACTGACACTGGGCGTTGTCTTTCCCAACTAAAATCTTCTTGGAGTCATGTAGGTGTTGTAGCCACTCAGAACGTACCTCTCCATAATCTGTCATGGGAGTGTTGCACCCACATCCATAAAACTATGGGGAAAAAAGGAGGCAAACGGAAAGCATCACAGGCTTCACAAGCCCTCACCCAGGAACCCAATGCGCGCTCTTTCCTTCCCAGTATGGTGGCCACAGAACTACTGGCAGTGGGACACTTCCCTCCTGGGCACCTGATGCAGTTTGGTTGTGGCAGCCCATTGGGAGCTGTAAGTTTTGTGCTTCATGTCAGGGTGGAGTCCAGGAGCACAGAGCTCTAGTTTTTATTTCCTAGACAAGCCTTGGTGCCAGGATGTTGCCATGGTGGCATCTAAAAGAGGGTGGCTTCCCACAATACTTTCTCACAATTGTTGTCAGTGCTGCAAGCACCTGATACTATATGGAAGGGAGAAGGTTCTTTTGCAGCCCAGTTACAGCCAGAGGGGTAGAAGAACTCACCAAGCCACAGCAAATCCTTCACAGACACAATGAACAGTTGCTAATGCATACGTAAATTATGCCACTAGTGCTCCATTGATGTTTTCTGCCTATGTCCTCCTTACTTGTGGCTTCACTGACTTTGGCTTCAAATAACTGAAACACTAAAGATGGTTTTTTAGAATCATCATTAATTAACATTAAATACAATTTTTAGAATCAAAGAACCTTACAACTCCTTCTGCATTTTGAAGAGACTTGTTACTTAAACATCAGCTTTTCCCTCTCCCAAATTTTTTTTTAAATATTAGGGACTTTTAAAGAAAGAAACCAGTACTAGAATTCATCAAGACACAGAGTTTAAGTGGTACCAGTTTAAATTGTAAAAAACAAAAAAGTCACATGGGGGCCTGCCTGCACCCTTGATTACTTCTCTTTAGTAAAGCAATGGTTTCCTCTTATTTATGCCGTTGTGATCAGAAAAAAGGAAATGGAAAGAGCTGAATGGGAAACTCTGGTCGGTACAACAGGAAGGCGAGCTGAACATAACAGGCACGCAAAGTGAGAAATTATGGAACAAACGATGGAACAGAGTTAAAGCAGAGTTAACAAAATGGAAAAACAAGGAGTAAACAAAAGGGCAGACTCAGTGGGTTTAGGAATAAAAAGGGGAACTATCCTACTTATAGGTTCAGGACCCCTTTATTCATGGGGACAGATGAAAAACAGTAGTTTTGATCACCACTGCTCTGATCACAGACGTGCAGGGGGCTCTTTCCAGCGAATCATCTGCTCTATGCCACAAAATTTGTTTATTCTTGTGTCAGTGATTTTTGGATGAATGGATGCTGTTCACATTATTCTCTCAAGTAATCATAATGAAATATAGAAGAAGGGAGTAGCAGCATGGTGTACAATTGCTCATTGCATGTCCCGGTTGTTTAGTTGATCTTTGGCTAGAACCCTGTTGAGTCTGGCAACTGAAGTAGAACATAGTCTTTACACTGAAAGCATGGATCTTCTGTGGATTGTGACAGCTATAGCAGAACGGAGCTGGTTGCAGGCTTGCCAGATTTTCATGTGGTCCCTATGACTCACTCACACCATATTTGAGTTTGAAAGACTTTTAATGAATTCCTCCTAATGAGGCAATTGTGTAATGAAAAATCACAGACAACACAACTAACAAAATGCTTTTATTCATTCATAACTGGCATAAAGGTCAACTTTGTAATTAAAATGCCAACAATATAACATAGCTGCAATAATTAAAAGAGAGAGAGGAAAATCCCATCCTGAATAGAAGGGTCAGAGCTACTACAGATCCTACCTCCAGCAATGGATTTTTATAGAAGGCTATAAACTTTTGTGATGGCACTCATGATATAAATATCTAGTCAGATATAAATGTCTATGACCAGGAAATCTTTCCAGACAATGAATACAGATCTGCTACTCATTATGTGACATTCTTCCCGTAGGCAGGGCTTCTGTTTGGGGGTTTTTCGGGCTCTTTGGCCGTGTTCTGAAGGTTGTTCTTCCTAACGTTTCACCAGTCTCTGTGGTGGCATCTTCAGAGGACAGCACTCTGTGCTCTGGTCTCTGAAGATGCCGGCCACAGACTGGCGAAACATTAGGAAGAACAACCTTCAGAACACAGCCAAAGAGCCCGAAAAACCCACAACAACCATTAGATCCTGGCCGTGAAAGCCTTCGCGAAGATATGTGATCTTCTTGCTGCTCAGACAGCAGTAACTTACTATGGTGGGCCAATTCTCCCTATTATTTGTTAGTATCTCAACTGTGGTACTGAGGGTTTTGTGATCATCACAGAGATCAGAAATATTGTTCCATTGGAATGCAATTCCCAGAATGGCCAAATTATTTATTTCATTCTACTCAACTGGTATTGTCTCTTCTTGGTCACTCTGCAACAAAAGTTCAATATTCCATTAGGTTAATGAAGAATTAGTCGAGAGTTGCATTGCGTGATTTTTGCAGTTCTGATTAACAAACTGCTAACCAAGCCAGTCCTTTAATTCTGAAGGCATTTTAAATACATTTACATTTGAGCAGGAACAACACTTAAATCAATGGGATTTAAATTAGTAATTAATGTGAACTCACTAGGGTCAAAAGGGTCTACTCTAAGCAAATCTGGATATACTGTAAACCATTATTGTTACGAGAAATAAAAACTAGTCAATAATAATGCAATAATTTAAATTAAAATAGAATTTCATCTCAATGCTTTTCTGTGCTCTTCTCTATTTTCCTCCTAATAAAAAAGCAAAAAAGTTTCTAAATCTTTGTTATGGTTATAGTCAGTGGAAGATGAACTTAGCAACTGAAATGTTAAGTGAAAATACTACAATAATCTCTCTTTATCTTAATGTGTTATGTACTTTTAATATTTCTTTAATTACTGAAAATGAGTTACTTATATACTATATGAGTACATACTGTACAGTATATATTATAGTCTAGATTTAGGGGAATTGAAACATCATTCCCCATCTTCCTCCTGCAGTGATGAGTGCCACCTGAAAAACTAATTCCAGTCAGTTTACTTGCACTCCAGTACTCTAGCTTTTACGGGGTGAAGGCGGGAGGCATCAGTGACATGGTATACTGGAGAGGCAAGATCGACCCCTTCTGATTCTGCTTATGGAAGTATTTCTTTCAGTAGCTCCCACCCCCAATAATTATAAAGCTATATTAAATGACAGTTAAAATGGAAGGCAACTTCTGTTTATTATATGATAAATTAAGAATAACATGCTTAGTGTAATTTCTTAGAGAAAATATTTGTGATGTATACAATTGCCATCAATAGTATCTACTCTGAATAATTTAATTCTTGACTCATCTGTATTCATTAGAGATACTGTATTGTCCTTTAAAAACAAATTCTGGTGTCTTATTACTGATGAACAACAAATAGAAAAATGAAATCGCACGCGCATGCATGCACACACACACACAAATGCCATGCTAGAGAGTCAGCAGTTAAACACTATTAGGCTGCAATCCTATACCCATTTATTTAGGCTAAGCTTTACTAAACTCAACAGGGCTAAATTCTGATTAGATCAGTTTGCACTGTCAAGTCCATTTTAATTCCAGTTGGGCAAGGGTAAGAAATGTTCAACTCTCCAGATGTTGATGCCTGTAACTTCCACCAGCCCTGGTCATCACAAGGTCAGTAGTAGAATTTTGGTTTATCTACATCTGAAGGGCCACATTATGTCACATCTCTGCAACAGTGATAACTGAAGTTTAGACTGTGGAGGCCTAAGTTTTTCTTGCTGAAGAAGGTCTTTGTTGGAGGGTTAAAAATGAAGAGAAAATGCATCATGGCTTCTGCAATGTGTCCTGAGTGCCACTGAGATAAATGAAGATGAATCAAGGAGAAATGAGACAGAGGCCTGAGCTGAGCTTTTCTTATTTAGACTGTGCTTAGGTCTTCTTAGCCTGATTTCTTGTTGGGGAACAGGAAGCCGGACTAGAAAGATCTTTCTTCTGATCCAGCAGAGCTCTTACACTCTTAAATATACTGTGGGCTGCATTTTAAGACACACCTCCCAGTTTGTGCCAATTCTTTAAAACACAACTATGGCCCCATTCAAAAATAACAGGAACCAGGAAAATCTTTTAAAAATAGTCTCTTTGGAACACTTGGATGCTGAAGCAACCTGAGGTATAGTTAAATGGCCATTGTGAGCACAGAAATTTGACTGTCCCCATGTACCCACTACATTGATTGAAGGCAGATTCCCCTTTTACACAGGAACAGTCTCCCATTATGAGATACATTCTTCTTCTGGAATTGTATAAGTAAAGAAAAAAATTGCACTGATCCTTTGCATATAAAACACTGGCTTCCCAAAATTTTAAGAGCTTCGACAGACAACGCTGTCCTTCTTTACATGGAATTTAGGAAAACGGTTCTCTGCCCTGTGTAAAGCTTGTACTCCCAAACAGAGCATTGATTCTCTTTCTCTGTTCGACACATCTCAGGAAAGGCACAGAGAGTAAGGAATTCTGAGCTGTAACAGAGTCATGGAAGAACTTGAATTCGTCCATTTCATGGAGATATTTGTTGCTTGTGAGGCATGTAAAAAGGAGGGAGAAACTAAAGGCCACGTATCTGACCCCCACCAGTGTTTCTGGAGACCAGCACAACCTTGCTGCCTACAGATGGGGCCACAATTATGCAAATTAACATCAATTGCTGGCAGACCTGGTGGGACAAATTCTCTCCTCAGTCCACCTATTTCTTACATAGATAGACTTTCCCAACAGCACCAGTTCTCAGTAACAGAGTAGCTATCTCTGGAGAAAAAAAATTATATGACAGTCTTCTCGATAGGTGTATGTAGAAGTTCTGAGCCTTGTATCCTCGGGTTGAATCTCCAGCATGACAAAATGTAATCCAGTTTTCTCAAAAGCAGCCATCCATCTTTGTGTAGCCAAGAGGTTGTACATAATGTCCTTTCTGGAAAATTGATGAGAGGAAGAAATTGTTGTTTGAATTGCTTCAGGTTCTTCATGTCTTTCATCCAAGAGACTCTGGCTCAAGATGCAGAAATTATCTACAGAGTTAAAATGCTCAGATCTCTGGGGGAAAAGAAAGAAAAGGAAAGGTAATGAGAAACATCACTGACACATTCATGGTGACTATATTTTAAAACAGGCATTCTGTTTTAAGACTCTTCACCTTTCTATTGAGGACAATCTGATGGAAGTCTTTCTCACTCCTATAATTTCCTGGAATTTGTCAAATGGGGAAAAACAACTATATAAAACTACCAATCTTTACTTGGTTAAGCTATGACCAACACAATTAGCTGATTAATCCACCACCAGTCCTTCTGTGAACTGTAAATGAATATGGCATTTTACAATGTACAACAGCACAGGTACCTTACTACACAGTCTGCAAGTGAAAATTCACTGCAATAATCTTAAACTACTGGGGGCTAGATAATAGTCTACTAGACAGCAATCTTCAACAAAGGTGGGATATACTGTACATCTTTCACTTATATGTACTCGTAACCCAATTACAAAGGTAAGCACTCAAAAATAAGCCCCACTGTATTCAACTGTGGAGACCAAGGTACAACAATGCTTGGAAAAGTAACTATTTTTTGGACCACAACTTCTAGATATAGCATCTGGCTGTTGACCACAACTGGGAAATTCTGAGCCTTATAGCTCTTCTAAAGTAATTTTTCTGAGCTCTGTTCCACAGCACAGAATGATCACAATAATCAAGGCGTGGATATAGAGACAAAATTACTATTTGTTGTGAAAAACATGTGATTTTCTTTTAAGAGAAAAGAAAAACATAAAATTAAAAACTATAAATTCTCTTGCATGTGGCGTTCGAGGTACTTCCAAACTCAAACATTGAAGGCGTATTAAACTGACTACTTATATACTTTAAAATAATTCTGAGTCACAATTTTTCACAGGCTAGCAGAAAGACTGTTTCTTCTTCCTGTCACTCTGACAAATGGTATTGGCAAATCTTGGGGCTTATGTTTTCACAAGACCATGTGGCATTACAGAGCCAGAGTACTGGCAGAATATGAGGAATTCCATCCTGTCATTGGTCCAAAATAACCTGAATTTGTTGAGATGTTTGGTGGACCAGGACCATTTCCCTCAACAAGGCATTTGATGAAACACAACTAGACAAAAGGCATGCTACCACACTGGAGTTCTCAGTAACTCATTAGGAACAGCTAGTAATGCTACCCATACTTATGGCTGTTTACAACTTGCAATTCCTTCCACCATTCATATAAGATAGCAAAGTTTGGTGTGATTTTTTTTGTTTTGTTTTGTTTTTGGTTCTGGCTTTCTGCTCTAATCTGGCTTTCTTTCCATGTTGTAGTATCCCTTTTATGAGATTAAGCAGAAACTGCTACTGACGAAAGCTGTGACAGTGACTGGAGCCTTTGGAATGGAGACAAAGGTTTTCATCATTACTTGATTAAATATGAACCAAGATGACCACAGGCGAGACGAATGGAACTTCAGTCCAGCACAGAGATGTCTAGTTCATTTACTTTGCTCCAGCTGTTTTTTTATGGATTTTTCTCACTAAGATACACGATGAACAATCTTAATGGAGTCACTGTTGACAGTCCCTTAAGATTTCATGTTTCATAAGCTCCTATGGCTTTCCTTGCCCACTCTTGTAATACAGGGGAGACCTGGTAGGCAGGAACCTTGCCTCCTCTCCCTCCACTCCCTAGTGCTCTTTGTTTGACTGGACCTGTCACCCATTTCACAGCGACCTTCCTCTGATTAAGTCTATCATCCTTTACAGAAACTTTTAAGGCTCAGCCAATTTTCTCTGATCATTTGATCCACCACATTTCCTCCTTCCAGATTAGTTCGTTATCCAGCAGCAGCAGTGAGTGTTCTTATTTTTGAGAAATATCATCAATCAGAGTGAAACATTCCGGATTATCCTTGCTTTTCAAGTGCTTCCCTATTAATTTTCTTTAACATCCTTTTGCATCCCTTGTATCTAGCCCAGCCCTCGGCCACCTGTGCACTTCTCTCTTTATCCTGCTCTCTGAAGGATAAAATGTGAAAAAGTAGTAGTAAAGGAACATCTGTAAAAAAAAAAAAACCACACTCTTCTTGGAAGTACATTTACATCAAGGCTGCCAAAGCACTGATTTTAAAAGCACTGAAAATCCTGCTTTGAGGCTTGCCATATATTTAAACTATAAGAATATGGAACAAAAGCCCAGTAGTTCTATAATTCCAAAAATACCACCACAAATTGTAGGCCAGTATTTTTCTAGGTCAGATTTCCTGTAGGGTGGATGAAAACCCCAGAATATATCTTGAACAGACAACGTTGCTCCCGAATTTGTATTTCATTCATTAGGTATGAAATGATTAAACTATCAATATAATTTAAGGCATATTCAAGACAAAGGTGAAAAGTCATTAAAAAAACACATAATGACAGAGAAGAATTTGACAGTGCTTTCACTGTTGGGGAAAAAATAATTAAAGATGTTTCTTTTCTTGAGGGAATATCAAACAGAAGGATCACAATGTTTGTTCTCTTTGGTTTTTCATATTTTTATACATATCCTGATTTATGAGCCGCAGTTTGAATGTTTTGTTTTCTGTTTATTTGCTTGCGACATTTTATGTTGTCTTTTTCCCAGTAAAGCGGGCTCAAGACAGCTCCCAACACCATTAAAACAAGCACTTAAACAAAATATTTTGATCATTTTTTAAAAATGTTCCCCTTGACATTTTAGTCAGTCGTGTTCGACTCTAGGGGGTGGTGCTCATCCCTGTTTCCAAGCCGTGGAGCCAGCGTTTGTCCGAAGACAGTTTCTGTTGTCACTCGGCCAGCGCGGCTATACACGGAACGCTGTTTGCCTTCCCACCGAGGTGTTACCTATTTATCTACTCGCATTTACATGCTTTCGAACTGCTAGGTTGGCAAGGAGCTGGGACAAAGCGACAGGAGCTCACTCTGTCGCGTGGATTTGATCTTACGACTGCTGGTCTTCTGACCCTGCAGCTTAAAAGCTATTAAACATAGTACTATTACAACATGCACCAAGAACAATTTTTAAAATGTAAAAACATTAAAAAGCAATTAAGATGGATATAAAACATTAAGTATAAAGCATAAGGTATTGGTAAACCATTGTTTAATGTTAAATGAGTAGACTTTGATGCCATGACATTGCCATTTGCCTCTTCTTGTGCAGCTGTGATAAAAATATCAGAAGATTTTGCTCTTGTTTTCAAGAATAATAATAGAACTATGGTGTTAAAACTATTCAAACTAATAGCTGGTTCATGATCAGAGGCAGATGCCTTCTCTGAACTGTTGACTTCAGCCCCCTGTCTCTGATATGCCCCCAATGAATTCAGTTTATGAACCACCCCAATCAACCTCTGGTTTTTGATTCCTCCACCCCCATCACAGATAAGATTAACACCAGTTTGTCCAAGTTCACATTTCAGTAACTGTAAACTGTAAACTTTATTTTATTTATTTATTTATTCATTTTATTTATATCCTGCCTATCTGGTCAGTTAAGACCACTCTTTCCAATCTCGTTCTCATGGATGTGTCTGAGAAGTGATGGGGGCTCTGGCTAGCTTGTACCAAGTGATGCTAAACTTAGTTAGGCATCCTTCAGTCTCGAAAGACTAACGTACTCTGTATGGATGCTAAACTACAACACAACAACAACAACAATAATAATATAAACTGTTTTATTTCATAGTACAAACAAATCAAGTACCTTCATCCAACCTTTCCATGCACGAAAGAGTAGAACTATATATACTTTCCAAATAGCAGATTAAAAAATGGTCTTGTTCCATGAAGTATATTGTCGATTGCAACTCACCTTTCACTTACTGGTTGAGACTGCTGGTTTCTGTACTCCAAATGCAGTAATAAAGATATTCACAACTACTATAATAAACACCAGTCCCGTTGCAAGATTATTCAGGATGTCCAGCTTGGCATGCTTTGCAGGGTTATTAAGGTCATATTTGACTGCAAGAGCAGAAAGTTTGAGTGAAAATGATGATTTTCCCATACAGAAGAGATTTATTATTATTCATATTCTGTAGCAATGGTTTCAGAAGAGAACAAGCAAGGGGAAATGCTATTTTGAAAGCTTCTCCAAAAATACCTCAAAAAAGGGTAATGGATTATTTGCTTCACTCTTCCCAAACTCAGTCTCCCCGCATCACAAGTGTTTGGACAACAAATTCCATGGTCCTTCCATTGACCATGTTTTCTGGGGCTCATAGAAGTTGCAGTCCAAAGCACGTGAAAGGCACAAAGTGAAAGGCAGGTTTGGATGCTAAAGAATAAAAAATATTTCTCTCAGAGCTTTCTCACGAGCTTCCTTGATCAAGACCTACAAATACTGTACAATCTGGAAGTAGAAGGCAAGCAGGAATCTTTGGTACAAGAAAATATTTTTGAATACTGAAAGACTTCTTTGATTACAAATACAAATGACTCTATGAAGTCAAAATAATAATAAAAAATAATTTACAAGTCATAATAATAATCATGTGCCTTCAAGCCAATTCTGACTTATGATGATCCTTTTCAGAGTTTTCTAGGAAGTCAATACCCAGAAGTTTACCATTTTACCATTTACCATTCCCTTTTCTGAGGGTATCCTGCTACTGTGCAGCTTGCCCAAGGCTGCACAGGCTGGCTCTACTTTGCAGTAGGCATAGCGGAGAATCAAACATTCAAAATCTTCAGTTTTCCAAATTTTAATGATATATTGTTACTTAGCTTTTTATTATTAAACTATCTCTACCACCAATTCCTCAGAATTCCAAATCAGCTCACTGATTATGGCCATTGCTTTCCACTGTTTTCATTTTTCCCCAAAGAGAAAGTTATGTACATTTAACAAAATAGCATGGATCAAACACTAGCAAGTGACAGTTAATTCATATTTCCCTTGCTGTGTAGTCGCACCCTTAGTCTTACTCATAGCACTGGCTGCGTAAAGAAGTATCAGCTTCTGTTTTCTTCCATTTCTTCCTTTGCCTGAATTGCTAAAGAGGAGACGGAGTTGGACTAAAAGAGCTGAAGCTCATGTCAGGTTATTTTTATCCCCACATCTTGAAAAATGTATAAATGGGTTATATTAAATATGCATGTCTTCATACAAAATTGCATGAGCTCTGATGAAACTGCTCCACATTTCTCTCTCTCTTCATTTTTTCTCTCTCAAAATACCTCCTGGTGGCAGACTTTCCATAAGGTAGGGGACCTGCCTGTACAAGTATATTAGTCGAAGATAGTTTTGTTTTGTTGCATTTCCCACCATGCAAATGCAAGAGCCAGAAGCCACTGACAGGTTTCTAAGCTTTCCACGCACCATGGCTATGAAGATATGAATGGGAGAAACTGCCATGAAGAGAGGCTTATCTCCACAACCTTCTCTTATATTTGTTTCATGCAAACTGTACAAAATACGAAAACAGTAGAAGGTTCAAAAGTTGCTACAGATTCATTATATCTTACAAATATTGCTTTAAAATGCAGAATGGCTGAGGCAATTATAGGGGAAAATTGAAATAATGTAATGTTACAAATAGTAAATCAAGACTTTTAAAAATAAAGATTGGGGTAGATATGAATTGAAATCCAAAGACTCAGTTGCCCTGTAAACTCCTTCAAGTGCTTAAAGCTGTCTGTTATGTGACATGGAAGGCTGATCTCTACGGGAAATCCCTGTCCAAAACTCCCCCAGTGTGCAAGCCTATTTCCATGAATCTTGGCCACAGGACCTTCCTCCTTTAACAAGATCTAGAAAAGGAAAGCAAAATTCCAAGCAATGCAGACAACCCAGAACTTTCCAGTCTGTCACAAATTATGACAGATGCATTGTGAACAAGCTGGTGTAACGCTTAGATTACAACATTAGGGCATTTTCTACAAAAGTTGGCTGCTAGAATGTCTATTGGTCAGTCAGCGGCTCTGTGATTTATGTATTCAGAAGCCATTCAAGTTGTAGAGCTCACATATAGGAGTGATTCACCAGCTCTGGAGGTGTGGAAGATAGTTTTTTTTAATGCAGCTTTTGTCTTGCTTGAACAAAACAAGGTTCCTCTGAGTTTTCAAGGGAATTACAATAACCCTATGTCACTATTATAGAACTAAACTTGGAACTACTCATAAGTACAGGTAATGTCAAGCATTTTATTACACTAATCCAATACCACTATCATTTTGTGTAGTCTCTTTCTTTCTTTTTCACTCTTCAAGAAAGAAATGAAAAACATCTTACAATTAACATGAGGTCGTATTTTATAGGAGAGTATATGGTGCTTTTATTACTACCGAAAGACTTTATATATATATACAACTGAAAAAGGTATTTCATTATGTTCATTCTATCTCAGTCTTCCTCTCTGTTTTCCTCTCTTTTAATTTTCCAGTCTGGGCAGAAAGTCCTTGCATTTTCAAAAAAGGTTAACAGGTTATCTGAATTCATTTCCTAATTCAATGTGGTAAAACAAAAGCAAGTTATTTTTGCAAATAACAAGATGCTGTTACAGAACACTAAGACAGGATTGAGGAGGACTCAAAATATGTAAACTACGTCTGCCCCTGACAATATATAACAGAATTTTTTAAAAGGGTGTGTGTGCAAAAATAGATGATTTGCATCTGTGTAAGAGGAAGCTACTTGGAATGCCAAAGCAAAAGGCTTTCAAAAAGTTTTTTGACCACTTCCTTCCTTCCTTAATTTTTACAGAACTACTGTCAAACCACTACCATCTGACCCAATGTAACAAGACATAGCATGATATATTGAAGGCCTCTCAAAAGGAAAGAGTGACTGATCATTAAGATGTACATTACCCTGAATTGTAGCTGTAGTCTTGCAAAAGTAGCTGCCAGTATCAACAATGTGAAACGGCATGAGACGGGATGCTAGGACTTTGTGTGTGGCTATGTGTGCGTGTGTCTGTGAGCACTCTATCAATGTATGTGTGTGCGCGCACGTGTGTGTGTGTGTAATGCTAGGACTTTGTGTGTGGCTATGTGTGTGTGTGTCTGTGAGCACTCTATCAATGTGTGTGTGTGCGTGCACGTGTGTGTGTGCGTCCGTGTGCGTTAGCACTCTATCAACTCATCTCCCTTTCCAAACCTTGGATATTTTACCTTCCAAATAGTTTACTTTGATTTTGCATTAAGAGTATAGTACTGTTTTTATTTTCAAACCTACGTATGATCCAAAAGAATACTGTTTATATACTTGGAAAATGACAGAGTAGTTAAAATACTCAGCATGACCTTCCTGCCAGAAGAAAAGTATAACAAAGCTTACAAATTCTAGGGTTGAACAGACAGTTTCTGTATACTTCCTGAGCTAAGCCTTACTCCACAGAAACAAACATGCAATCATTTCAACAGAAAATATAAGCTTTCAGGAAATATACAGTGTTAAGGATGCAGTTTGATACCTACTTACCTGGAATTATGCTCCAGTGAACTCAGTCATCTTAATTTTAAGTACAAATGTGTGCACATATGTATGAGCATGTATCTATGTATGTATTTTTCTCTTTAGTGTTTATTTCCACTACAGAAGAAACAAAAGAATATATAAAATATCACAACCCATTGTGGAAAATCTACTTTCCCAGAGCTTGGGAAAAATGCTTTGGGACTACTGCTCTCACACTGGGAGCAGGGGACAGAGGGTTTAGGAATACAGTTCCAAAAAGTTCCCATTTCCTTGCTGCCTGGGAAATGGCAGGTGTTGTAGTCCAAAAGAACCACTTTCCCAAGTTCTGAAGAGTTTGGCAGGAAACAAGCAATAATTCAAATCACTGTACATACCAAGGAATATTAGAAGCACCCCTACTCCAACCTGGAGTATGAGCGAGATGCTGATGAGGGCAATAAGTGGGATGTAGAATGAGAAAGATGGCCCTTGTTCCATGACCGCCTTCAGCTGGGACGCATTGGCCATGAGCAAAGCAATGTCCAGCATACTCTCTGCTGCACTCTTCTTATTGGCATAATGGTTAATGTTAATCGTCCTGTCTCTCTGTAGCCAGCGAGTCCGGAGCTAAAAGGCAAAACAACAAAAGCTAATGAACTACTTAGCATTAGAATGTCATCAGCATAATACTCTGTTAACCTGCAAGATGGAAAGCGAGAGTTCCACCTCACCTTTTTGGTCACCATGTATGAGTAGGATGGGAGGAAGAACACTTGTAGGGAGGTTAAGGTGTCCCTCACATGTGTATTCAGACAGGGCCCCCACAATTAATTGTGAGGAGAAAAGAATAAACAGCTTCTTTGCATGCTACATAATACACACTGGGTACTTTACCTCCAAAGGGGCCCTACTATGAAGAATCACTGGAAACAAGCAGAGAGTCTGCATATATGTCAAGTCTATGGCCCTTGACAGAAACTGAAATATATGATGATAACTCTCAGCTTGATGTTGCTGCATCATCAGACCCTCTCTGTTGTTGTTTTAAAAACAATGCTAAGGAATTTCCAAAGAAACAGCTATGTTTTCTAAAGCAGTGGTTCTCAAACTGGGGTCCTCAAATGTTCTTGGACTGCAATTCCCAGAAGCCTTCACCACTTGCAGTGCTAGCCAGGATTTCTGGGAGCTGCAGTCCAAGAACATCTGGCGACCCAAGTTTGAGAACCACTGTTCTAAACAATGCCCACTAAACATGGTAAAAAAGAAAATTGTCCAAGACAGACTGGCACATAGGAACAGTCTGCTACAAGAAAAATCCAATGGATAGAACAAATGAACACTACTACACAGCTCCCAATTAAGACCACTGAGACGTATCATCAATTCCCTGCAGCTTATTCTGGATAGGAATATTTCCATCTCCCAAGACTGAAGGACAAGCCTGTACTTGTCTCCAGACAGCACTCCAACCTTAGCACTTACTGAGGCATTAGGCAACACAGCACAGAGACAGAGAAAGGAGCAAGCCCTTGTCAACAAAACTGGATGGAAGTTGTGCCCCTGTATTTACACTAGCATCACCATCAAGGGCCCCAACAATGTCAGACACAACATTGGGGTTTATTTATTGATTCATCCTCAGAAGTGATTTATGCCATCTTCTGCCAGTAATGCCTTTCTGTTCTCAGCAAAGAACAAAAAGGACAATTCATAGACAAATGAATGGACAAAAAGTTTAAAAAAACTTCTTAGAATAGGATCCATGCCTTATTGCTACTGGCTACAGTGGTCATATTTGAAAATAACTCCCATTTATAACAAATGGTAGGCTACCCAGAGAGCTTGAATACTGGCCGCACATCAGTTTTATTGCTTAATTAAAAATAGGATGGAGAAAAATCAATGATTTTTTAAAAAAATCAAATTGATTTAAATCATCATTTAAATTGCAATTAAGCAATAATATTGATATGCACCAAATAATTTTTAGACTGCTTTCAATATGTGAATTGATGTAACAGTATTTAGGAAATATAGCACTGTTTAAATTTCCATATCTCAGGAGGATTTTCCTCCCATTTAAATTAACAAATATTTTCTTTGGCTCCTTTCACCACTGTGAAGAAAGTATGTATTTCCATAGAAAGATGGGGAGTGGGGAGAGATTACTACAAGCAGAACACATCCAGTAGCCACACCCTTTGAAAGAACAGCTCCACACTGTCAGACACCCCATTTCCATGCTGTCTTAGCCCCATCAGATAGTGTGGGTTTGAAACCCACACACAGAAACAGACCTGTAAACATGTTCTCCTGTTATAATTACTTTCCCAATCTTATCCAGCACATTAACTTTCTAAAACCTAAACTAAATGTCTTTGGGGTCCTTGCAGGGCTGTAATATAATTTAAATAATGTACTGAAAAATGCTATGAATAGTACTTTCTGTACTGATAATAGAGCCAAGTAATTCTCATATAGTACATCTTGTTTATTCAAACTTTTCTCCTAAGAGAGCTTCAACGGGAAATATTAACATTGTTTGAAGCCCAAAAAAAGTCCCTTGAGTTTGACTCTGATTCATTCCCAGGACTACACAGCTGGGACTACATAAATAAAAATGACTGAATCACTGGTGGTGCTCCAGAGTGACTATGTCATGAATCTAGAGGAGATCTTGGTAAGCTCTTCTTTAACAACCAATATGTTGGTTTCCCAAACAAAAGAGAAAGGGAAGAACTAAAGCTTTTGTTTAGAAATGTTGTCTGCTGTCCTCTGATCTTATAAGTGGTTCTCTGGGCATCTGCTCTGTCTTTCCACTTTGTACGTAGTGTTAGCTATGGCAGCTGATGCTTCTTGTGGACTACATTGCTGATACTGTCAAATAATTTCTCTTTTGCACCATCAATGTCTGTTTTGCAAAAAGTGCTGTCTGGGCCTCATAGGTGTCCTAGTGATTAATAGGGTCGATAAACGCATGCAACATGGTAAAATTAAAACCAGGTTAAATCAGTTAGACATCCTGCCTAAAGGTTGGAACCAGACTGATGGTGGTGGGGAGCAGGGGAGATGGGACCCTTGGCCAGAGGCTTTTTCTTCAAGTCCTTATCCTTTTCATGAATGTTATACAAAAGAGCTGTGACTTATCCCACTTGGTTCCTTTAATAGGAGGGCGGAAATCAAAGGAGTATCCAAGCTTTATATTTTGAGTGTCTGTCTCTTAAAGACAGCACAGTTACTTAAAAGCTCTCTTCAAAAGATACTTTGTACCTCATCAACACATGATCACTCACCTAGTCAGCTTGAGGCGACTGCCATTCCCTTCCCTATGACTGTGAAAATGGATATTGTTGGATATTCACTGTGAGCTGTACACAGTATGCCAAGGGTGATCTTATCCTAGGGGCCCTTGGTAAATGAACAGCCACCTAGCAAGTATACATCTCACAACATCAGCTGGTCATCTTTGCCTCTCTGCCAAATGGAAAGGAATGCCACCTAGCAGCTAGAATACAGTACTTTTGTAGGAAAATATATGACACTCGTATGATAAAATGAAGTTAATCAATTATCCCACTGAGATTTTGGAAAACAGAATAAATCAGGTTGGTGGCATCTTTGTCATTTCAGTTTAATCTTTTTCCTTTTCATCCTGTTTATTTGACACTCGACAGCAGAAAAGTAAAACATCCCCCCATCCCAGACAGCTTTTACTAGTGCTACAAGTGTGTTCTGTCTAACACAAAGATATTTGGAAATCACATGGTATGACTCACACTTTTTAGTTCATAGCAGCTTTACTTTATCCACAGAAAGAATTCATTCAACCAGTTACAAAACAATAAAGCAAGCCAGTCAGTCAACAGGAAAAAAAATGTCATTAATTTTGGGTTTTATGCAGCTAAATATACTTGTTCCTTCTAAATAGAGTAGACACACTGAACAAATCAAATTTCTTCAGTCAACATTTATGTAAATTCCATTGATTCAATGGGCCTGATCTGCTTGGGTAGCAACACTGAGTTTAGCCCATGTACTGTACTCTTATATAGAACTTGACAATTCAGTAATCAAATAAAGTAGTTAGAAAACAAGTCCTGCAACATTATAATATGTCCTGGAGAGCTTTGAGGGAATACAACTTATAGGCTTTATTGAATCTTGAATAGGATAGTTTTATTAGAATTGTAAAACAAAAAATGCTGGTTCCTGCCATTGGGACGTAAAAGCTTATGAACATTCTTATGGACCAGCAAAATAATGACAAATTCAATGTGTTCACTGAATCATCTACAAAACACTAGCCATAGATCTGCACATCTAACATTTTAAGCCTAGGAAAATATTCTTGGAAAATGAGCAAATGATCTATAAGGCAGTTTAGCTTTATGAACAGGGTCAATTTGATGTAAATTTTAAAAATTGGATTCATTTGATGATTTAAATTTTAAAAATTTTAAACCACGATTTAAATCAATTTGATTTTTAAAAATAATTGATTTTTATTCTCCCTCATTATGAGTGAAAGTTTCAGATATAACTCATAGAAATAGGATACTTAAATGAATTTTCTTGACCGATTATTATTTCAGGTTCTACAGATTTAACTAGGAGGTACAAATCCTCCTGTTAGTGTAAACAAGTTTCTTGAGATGTCAGTACACCCTGGTACTGTCCTTCCCTCCTCCCTAGATGGTACTGATTTTATGGGCAAATAACACCCATTCTTTCTCTCCGGTAGTCTGGGACATCTTGTATATATATGATGACTGGGTCTGAAAAGTTGAAGGATCTAGGGTTGTGATTGATACTTCAATGAAACATTCAACCCAATATACAACTGCTTTTTTAAAACAACTAATTCCATGTTGGGGATTATTAGAAAAGAATTTGAAAATAAAAATGCTGCTATCATAAAGCCTTTATACAACTCTAGGTTAAGATCACCCTTGGCATACTGTGCACAGTTACAGTCACTGCACCTTAGAAAGAATATTATAAAACTTGAAAAAAGAACAGAAATCAGAAGGCTGGAACCTCTCCAGAATGGCAGAACTAGGGATTTTTAGCTTTGAAAAATTGTAAGAAAGAAGGAACAGGACAGAAGTGCACACAATTATTCTTAGTATAAAATAGTGGATAGGAAGATTTTTTTTTCATTCTCCTTCTCACATAATACTATAGGCTAAGGATAGCCAATGAATCTGAATGGCAGGAAAGAGGGACAGAAACAAGGAACAATTTCTTCATATAGAAACATAGTTAAACTATGAAATTTAAGTGTACAAAATGAAGTGATGATCACCAACCTAATGTCCCTCTCCCTCTATTTCTCCAGGATAGCTTCTGGTATGTTACTGGATAAACAAGTGCAATTTAGACTGTATGAAAAGCCCATCTCACTCTCAGAACATTACCAATGGAACGAGAAGGGAATGCTATAAGCAGTAGACTCAAATGTCTCAGGTAGTGTGGACATCTTACTTCAACATATTTCCTAGATCAGTAAAATACATTTGTGGAATTTTTACTTTACTCAAGGCTGTTGAAATAGTAGGTACATGGGATCAGGTGTCTTTTGAATGAGGAACGAAGGAGGTTCCCTTACCTTCAGTGCATCTGCCAAT